CACAATGGTACTGTCAGAGTAACTTTTTGGTAGAGTAAAGATGGAAGGCTTTTGGCACACAGTCTTCTCTTCAGGTCAGGTATGTATTCTCTATTCCCTCTTTGGTTCTCTCTCAGGTAAGGATTGTAGAGTTTACACTGTCGATCTGCATGGCGGCTGTATTTGACTACTCACTGTGCACTTCCTCCTGCCTGCTGCTCCAGTATTCAAATGCTGCCATTCTTTACAACACAGTGGTAGAGAGAGACTAAAAAAAGAAAGAAAGTGGTAGAGTGACTCTTGGTGTTTTTGTTTTTCTATGTAAAACACATCAGGAAAAGTGCGGTAGATGAACAAAGACAGAGAGTCGGCATTGAGAAAAGACACTGACACATCTCATTCTCTCCGACAGGCAACGAAGACAAACTACAGCCTCAACGTCCAGGACACCGGCCTCATCTGATGGGGTAAAAGAAGAGCCAGCTTGAGATGAGTGAGTAACTGTGAATCTATATATTAAATGAGTGTATTTTTGTGTCCGCTGTCTTTATACCAAGTAGAACTGATGAACAAGTGAGGCTTTAATGTGATATTTTGCTTGACTTGATAATAGTCGAGCATTATATGCAGCACAATGCCTATAGTTTATGAACTCATCATTGAAAACCAATGCGGTTAAATGGGATTATGACATTATAAAAGAAGACTTTGAGACCAAGTTGTTGGAGGGTTTGGAAATCTACAAATGTGTTGTGCATCTCTCATCCAAAACCTTGAGGTATGTTATATGAAATCAGATGTTCGACACTTGAAAAATTGTATGTAGGTAAATTTGTGTGCATGCTCTCAAACAGACTGGACATATAGATTAAGGTAATATATTCTGAGCATCCCATTTGCATTTTAAACTGTGAAGCAGACATCTCAAATCTACTTAAAAATAATAATACAATTACAGGTGTCAGTAGACTAAGAAACATATTGCAGTTAAATTCTGAAGCCCTTAGCGTCATTTAAACGCATCATATTTGACTATACTGCCATCATAAATGTAAACTATGATAAGTTGAGGCCAAACCAAAGGTCATCTGATGAACCTCTAATGAAGTAACCCAATCCTTTCTATCTTCTTCATTATGGCCGTCAGTAATGGGACACCCTTCTGCAGCTTTGCATAGTTTTGGGACATTTTTTGATGGAAACCTGTAAGCATTTCCAAGGCAAATCTGTTATTGTGAACAAATCTACAGTGTGGGCAGAATGACAAACAAGTCTGTTTACCAGTTGTACTTCATTCTCTACAACTGATAGCTAAGTTATAGAGAGGGGACAAGGACAGTCCATCTGGAGCAGCCATGAAGTCAAGTGTCTTGTTCAGAAACATTTCCATTCATACATTTACTGTAGCAGATGCTTTTATCCAAAGTCTGATATAAGAAATTCGCCACACAGCCAACAATATATTTATTGTGTACAAAGCCAGGTTTTTATTTAATTGTATTTTTCTTCTATGCAGCTATCCGTTCTCAAAAAAAATTAAATTTTTGAAGGTAGAGAAACACTCTTAATGAATGGCCAGTCCATCACCGGTTTACTGGTTTTTTTTGTGTTGTGTTGTGTTGTTTTTGTGTTGTGTGTTGTTTTGCTTTGTTTTGTTTTGTGTTGTGTTTTGTTGTTTTTTGTGTTGTGTGGTGTGTTGTTTTGCTTTGTTTTGTGTTGTGTTGTGTTGTTTTTTGTGTTGTGTGTTGTTTTGCTTTGTTTTGTTTTGTGTTGTGTTTTGTTGTTTTTTGTGTTGTGTGGTGTGTTGTTTTGCTTTGTTTTGTGTTGTGTTGTGTTGTTTTTTGTGTTGTGTGTTGTTATGCTTTGTTTTGTGTTGTGTTGTGTGGTGTGTTGTTTTGCTTTGTTTTGTGTTGTGTTGTGTTGTTTTTTGTGTTGTGTGTTGTTATGCTTTGTTTTGTGTTGTGTTGTTTTTTGTGTTGTGTGTTGTTATGCTTTGTTTTGTGTTGTGTTGTTTTTTGTGTTGTGTGTTGTTATGCTTTGTTTTGTGTTGTGTTGTTTTTTGTGTTGTGTGGTGTATTGTTTTGCTTTGTTTTGTGTTGTGTTGTGTTGTGTTGTGTTGTGTTGTGTTGTGTGTTGTTTTGCTTTGTGTTGTGTTGTGTTGTGTTGTGTTGTGTTGTGTGTTGTTTTGTTTTGTTTTCTCACAAAGCCAAAAATATTCATAGTATACAACGTTTTTTTGTTTGTTTTACAGTTTGTATTTATTTTTTCTATGGCTGGTGGTACAAAATAATAATAATAATAAACAGTCTAACTCATGAATCTAATCTGTTCTTGTACTTCTTCAGACTTGCCACATCGCTATGGATCTTGAAGATGCTTGTTGACTTCCCTCTCCCACACCTCCTCCCCTTGTCATGGAGTTTGACCCAAACCACCTCCGTGACCCCTGCAAACCTGTGGACGACAACGTCGAGCCCCCCGATCTGGAGTGCGCCATCTGTTTCTGCCAGTTCAACAATGTCTTCAACACCCCTAAGGTACTTCAATGCAAGCACACCTTCTGCCTGGAGTGTCTTGCGAGGATGAACGTGAAGTCCACCCAACCCGACACCATCCAGTGCCCTCTGTGCCGCGCGTACACCCCGTTACCCAACTTGGGTCTTCCCACGCTAGCAAATGACTCCACGGTGCTGTCTTACCTCCCAGCTGCCATGCAGCATGTCTACAGTATCCGCTTTAACCGCAACAAAGGCAAACTGCAGGTGAAGAGAGTGCCCAGCTCTGCCCCGGCCCTGACACAGACCGTCAGCCAGACTCTGGACGTCGGGAACCCAGCGGGCTTGGAGGGTCACCAGGGCAGAGACGGGGGTAGAGAAAGGTCTTTACTGATCACCGTACTGCAAACGCCCCTGTGCAAAGCTTTCATCATGAGCCTGGTGGCCATACTAATCGTCGTTCTCACCATTACTATTATCTTCATCAACAAGAAATAAGCCCAAATACTTCAGTTTTTACATGTACGCTAGAGCATGCGTACAGTGTGCGACAGCTTGTTTTTTTCTAATGGTTTGTACAATGTACACGCAGCTCGCACATGCGCTTTGAATTTTTTTGCACTAATCCGTTTGTCCACAAGGTGGCGACACTGGCCCGGCTGTTTCACAGTCGGGAAAGAAACGGAACGAGAACAACAACAAACTACCACGACAAAAACAATATAGACTTCTGAGTTGACAAGCGATTGATTGATTGATTAAAATACACCAGCGACTCTAGTTGAACAAATACAAAGACATTTTTATTGCTCAAAACTTTTGGAGAGGAAAAGCGCAGACACTGGACAAGGATGAATCTTTCGATTGCGCATAAATGTCTTTGAAAGGCTGAGTGTTGGACAGTTTTATCACTGGCACTGACTGCATCCGCGTCAAAAGGTCAAATGACAGCATAAAAAACAAACAAACAGCATGACAAACACATTTTTGAATCTTTCCATCCTAGGCAAATCAGAATGTCCCTCATGAAGTCTACTATTATATTTAACAACTGAGAAGTATAGTGGTTACAAAAAAGTACTGTGATTGTACCACAGTATTTACGTGGTAGTACTATATGGTAAATGCACAAAACACTATAGCACCCTATACCTTTGTTTTGTGTTCCTTACAGACAATAATCTGGTGGTATGAGATGGTATGGTACTTTAAACATACACTGGTACTCTTTAGTACACTATGTCATTGTGTTTTCTGACTTGTTATGATGTTTTCTGAATTGTTGTTGTGTTTTCTGAATTGTTATTTTGTTTTTTAGACTTACATTTGCGTTTGTAATTTGTTATTTTGTTTTCAGAATTGTGATTTGTTTTGCACTTCTCGGCTACCGTACAGCACAGCTATTAAAGTCGTTTTGTCTTATTTTACAAAGCGTTTACATAGCGATAGCATTATAAAAGTTGGTCAGAGTCCTGTAGAAACGACAAAAAGAGCGCAAATGTGTTGCGCCGCGCGTCCAGCAGATGGCGTCCTCTCGCCAGCGTTCATTCACGGATGCTGCCCGAACTTTACCGAGCCTTCCGTAATGAGCCGCCTACGCAATGGAAAAGTACCAGAGCACGTGAAGCGGCCCCCCTCGGACTCTCTTTCCTTGTATGGCTGGCAAAGCCAAACAAACCAGTAAAAAGATGATGAGTGCCATCTGAAAC